CTACTATTACCTTGATAACCACTACGCCGGTAGACGCTTCCTCCCCGGCCCTAAATAGTATATAATATCGGACTTTTATACGTTCGCTCGAACTCTCGAGCGCACTAGTATTATATGTCGATTTGTAAGGTAATTAGGTTGTAATCGCTAGCATGTTAACATTAACGGGTAGACTAGGCGGGACGGCGGCGCTCGACTCTCCTAATATAACGTTAGCTAGCTAATAATATAATAGGTAAATATACTAGTCGCGTCATTATTAACGTCTATCGTTTAAGTGGGTAAAGCGTTAACTACGCCTATATCGAGTGGACTAGGGCGTACCTATATACTATTAACGAAAGACCTAAATCTAGTAAGGTATCCGCCGTGTATATAACACTATACGTAACCGATAACCGAAAACCTAAGATATATAAATGGTATTATATCCACGGAAGAGCGACGGCATTATACCGGTATATACTAGATATGCCGGTATACATCGGTATACACCGCTTAGTAGTCGTAATATATCGATATATGCCGATATCTATCGGCGTATATATATCTCGAGCTCACCTACGCGCGCTAGACGGATAAATCCCGCTACTATACTCATAGCGCGACGTTCCTATATGGTTAGATTATAGTTAACACGTTATAGTAGGCTTCTAAATATACTATTTATATCGCCCACGCGGAAAACCACCCGATCTAGTCCTAAGCCTAGTACCTATTTAATAGCCTACTATAATACCTAGTCTAAACTATCCTTATAAAGGATTATATCACTCGACTCGCTCGGTAGAATCGGGTACTCTAGGTAGACGCGACTATGCCTATAACCACCTACGTCCCCTAGTGCATCCATAGACGAGCTAATAAATTCTAATAGTTTATTTATACTAAGACCTACTATATCGCGTATTTTTACACCCTTAATATTTAACGGCGTCGTGCTATTCTATATAGCCGTTATTAGTACTAGGGTGACCCGAGTACGATCGCGGATAAGGACTATAGGCATATATATATAACACGGCGGCACGGCTACCTTAGGAGATATAGACACTAGTGGTCCGACGGTCGAATAACTAGGTTAGCTAGATATATTAGGCGGGTTCGTGGGGTATATATAATATTATAATAGCTCGTCTAGCCCGGGGCATCGTTTTAACGTATATGATGGTATTTAGCTAACCGCCGCCAGTTACGCGTAAATACCAAGAATATAGTATTAAGTTAATATATGGTATCTACCCGTGAAATAGTATAACTACTATTAATGAATATATATTCATCCGCGACTATCTATAGACAACGCTCTTGTTTTATGTGGTGGTCCTTTACTTCCTTACTACGTAGGTTTAGTAATAGGCTAGTAAATTCCTCCTAAATCAACTCTTCTATATATACCCGAAGTTTCTGCCTGTCGGACGCTCTAAATATATGAAGTAGGTCGAGACTCGCTTCTACTCGGCTATTTATTCGCGGCTGGCCGGACGTAGCTATAGGTAGACGGAATAGGGAATAGTATATATTACTAGGGTGATAGAGAGATGAGATATATATACTATATAATAGGCGTAGATATAACATGTACGTTACGGCTACATTAACGCGAGTAGTCCGTATAGTTTTTAGTAATAACTCGTTAATTTAATGGAGGCGGGGAAACATATAGCCGGCATCCGATCCCGTACTAACATAGGGCACGTGAAATAACGACGTTAAATATATAATACTCCACATATAACGTTAAGTTTACCGGGCGATAGCCCTACTCTAGTAATACTATCTATATACGATAAAAGAGTAGCGTAGTATATAGGCACGATAGGATAGTAGGCCGTCTTTGCGACCACGTGGATCTACCGCTAAAGAGGAATACTATGAGATCTAGTATATACTATTATAAACATACTATTATCTATTATATTTAGGCATACTAACTCGGCGTACGCGAAATATAGATAACTGCTAACCCGTCATGGTTCGCTATCATTCGAAGCCTAACGAGTAGAACCGAGGAACAAATAGTAGAAATAGTTAGATATAAGAGTTTTTAGCGATTAGGGGATGGTCTAGATAGCTCGAGGGAAGGATAGAGGACCTCCGCGAAGCATATGCTTATGTAACATTAATATATGAATATTTAAGAGAAGTACGTAATGCTAACTATCATCTCTATAATAGGTCGTTATTAATTAGTACTATCGTTAAGAAGAGATAGACGAGCGTAACGACGAATGATTATAGTAGCGAACCCTTATATTAAACACGAATAATGCGACGCATTAGTACGGTATATTTATCTATCACGAGAACGTATATCTAGTTACTATAGTTTCTAACGGTCTATATAAGAACGTATACATTAATAATATAGCGATATAAGTCTAACTATACTTATAAGGCTAGGGAAAGAATAAAGGAAGAGAAGGAGAAACATTAGGAGGGGGAGATACTTAAGGAAGACGTTTCCCTAGTAAGAGCGTTATATACCCGGCATATACTTATTTATACTCATTTACATAGACTCGTTATATACCCGGCACTTATTCATTAATAGACTCGTCACGTACCTAATACTTACTTAACCATAGACTCGTTATATGCCCGGTATCTAATAAGGTATAAACGCGAATAATAAAAACATTAGAATCGGGTGCGAGCTAGGTCTAGTAGGCCTAGAGACATAGTTCGGATTTTAGGGTATTAATACATATAATCTATCTGTGTTAGATTAATGCTATCCATGTCTGGTTCTACCCGTGAACGAGGATCCTTTAAGTTCTATGTGCCCCTTTTAGAGGCGTGGAGTTTTCATGCTAGCTGGTAATTATTAGGTAATAAGGAGGTGCATCCCTGGATGCTCCTTAGCTGAAATTATAGATAGTTATTAAATATAAGCCTTTTATAGAACCGATCGTAATAAACCACGATCATTCCTTAGAGATATCCTAGTGTAGGATACGACTATCGAGTGCTACTATATATAAACCATAACTTCCGCCATATGCCGGCATATGCTAGTATACTACGGTAGGCGGCGGTAGATAGCGATAGACTTACGACACGCGCCCGTGTTTTAATACTACGGTCACGTTTCGTCTATTTATAGCCTAGAAGTCTAGGTTATATACCTCGTTATAGATCCCCTAATTACTATACGTGTTTAACTAGAATAAACTATCCGTAACTAACTAACGTGATATAATCTATATAGGGCGTAGGACATGCTCTAGCTCGTAGACACGGAACCTATCCATCGTACGAGTCTTATTACTAGACCTTTAACCCGCTATACGTAATGGTATAAGGCCACTAATAGTATTAACATTACCTCCACCTAAGTTATTAAGTAGTTTAACTAACGCACCTAGGAATCGCGCCGCTATACTACTAGTTACGTTAATGCTCTCCGTATCGTATACCTCTAGAAATATATAGACTTTACTAACCCGCTTCCTATTAAGGTGGTTACTGCCCTCGTTAAACTCCTATACTATTATATAATCCTCCCTGGCCTTACCACTCTTTTACTAGTTATGGGTATACCTTACCCGAATCGGGTCAAAGGCCTCTATAGATATATCTCTATCTAGTCGTATCGGTACGTGCATGGTCTCGTACATATAGATAGGAAGAACCCGTGTCTACGAAGGGTCCTTTTTAATATATTCGACATTTATACCTTTCGATATATTATCTCTAATAAGCCGATTATAATAGTTGCGTATAAAGGGTGTAACCGTATCGAGTAACATGAAACTACTACTATACACGTCGTGGAGGTCGCCGACAGTGGTCTAGTAGGACGTAGATAGTCTATAGCTCTATAAGACGTAGAGTATATATTTACTCCGGCGTGGCTTCTTTAGAATACGCCGCTAGCCGACTAGCTTACGTATATCATCGAGCTACTCTAGGCTAGGGGCTACTAATATACTAGTACTAGCCGCCACCTCTATACTACTAGAGATTTTAGTATTCGTCGTGCGTATATCTACTACTAGTATCTACTATAGAAACGTCTCCCTCTTATTTAAACCTCGATATAATTTCTTTACTACGACATGAGATCGCTCTAGTAGCTCTACCGATATTAGATATAACGAACCATGGTGTTTAATGGCATCGACCAGGTGCGATAATATATGGAACTTCGGAAAGTTAAAATAATTATCCTCCGATTTATCTCCACGATATAGTATAAACTAGTATTTCAGGTCGTCTAAGCGTAATATAGCCTCTTCTAAGTATACTAGTGTCTACGTATCATGCGTATAGTATACCGCTAACATATATATATTAATAACCGCCCGCACTACGCTTAGGAAGTGTCAATTATAATATAGGAGCGGTTTAAACGTGACCATGAACACTGCTAGCATACGCTTAAACATCACCCCCGTCTATTATATTACTAAAGTTATACACGTAAGTAGGTTATAACAACCGAATACCCTAATAGACGCGAATCGCTTATCGATCGCCTTCTTTACTCGTTCTATAGGGGGTATACTAGTAAACATACCCTTTAACTTATGTCCCGTACGCTCTTAATTAATAATATACAAGACTATCTAATTAAACGTATGTTCTAATATACCCTTATATAGTTAATATAGAATGTCCGGAGCGACCGCGCGGTGTATATTAACTCTAGTAAGTAACTAGGCGAAATTATCCAATGGCTCTATCCACCTACTAGAATACCGACTCTTAACCGATTGGCGAATATAATGGCCCTATACTACTAGCGCGAAAGACGTCGACGAAAACGATAAGACACTAGGTACACTCGTCCTATTATCTATCTTACTACTAGTATACTCGCTACCGTAGCTATTAGTTATTAACTCGTGACGTACACGGTAAACCTATTTCTATAACGACGAGTATATACGGAACTCCTATACACTAGTAATGGCTTCTCGTAGATACTATCATCTATTACTAGGGACTATATATATTAGACATGTATACCGATAGGATACACCCGTAATAAGTATCTACTCCGGAAAATCTATAATATATAAAGCTAAACGCGGATAGTACTTACGCGAGCCGCCATCGGCATATAATACTAATACTCTAGTACTCTATATAGCCTGCAACGCTATATAATAATTAGTATAGTTAACGACTCTATCATGGGCGGATATACGGGCTAGAACTTTACTTATAACCTAATAGAACATAAAGCGATTCGCTACCGTTTCTAGCTTAACTACTAGTAATAGAGTAAGTAGTAGAAATAATGGTAGACTCCTAGATAAGCGGACGTTTAGTGGTAGATTATAAATAGATAGGTAGACTAGCCATGCTACTCTATTACTACCATAGTTAGTAAGGTTTATCTTATCCGAAGATAAAATAATAGGGATAACGACGGTACTATCCGGAATAGTAGCATATATATCCTACTAACCATCTACTATATAGGCTTTACTATATACCCGGTCGCCTATACTAGTAAATTATCGTACTAGCTTAAACACGAGCTTACTAGCGAACGGTCGGTATCTAAGGAGGAATTCCACTAACGTAAGCGGATCCCTATACTAGTATTCGACTATAGTAGTGCTAAATATATCGTAGCTACGCTGCCAACTTTCGTGCGGTATCCCTTTAGGGTGGTGTAATAACTACTTACGTATGATATTAGATTTTAGTATAAAAAGGTCAGGGGGTATAGCGGAAGTCTATTTAAGGATAGTAGTTAATTCATCGTATACTACATTCGAAATACCGAACCGATTCGTCTATATTATAAGGCGCTCTATAAACTTACTATCGAATTAACCGAATCGGGCCTACTAAATTAGTTACTACTATAAACCTAGACTATATATACTCACGTCGGACGGATTATCACGTCTACTCTAGTCTACTATAATATATATACCGCTCTCCTCTTCGAACGTTTTCGTTAAATATATAGTACTAGACGCCCTCGTCGCCATAGATATAGCATTTCTACTATATATATTAGACTAACATACTAAATCGGTACTATGGCTACTAGTAACGCCGTCTATAGATTCCAGGTCCGAAATAGGATTAGAGAAAATAGTAGTATCTTTATATAGGGTAATATTAGTAGTAGAAGTACCTAATTCCATAGGCTCGGACTCCTAATTAACGCTCGACGGCTAAATACTAATAGAGCGAACCAAAGAGTTCCATCGACTAATATAACTACGAGTACTAAAGCCGCGCCGTGACCCGGTCGATAGTGGTAGCCACGGGCCTAATGGTTATAATAATAATAGCGATGCGGCAAGCCGTGCTCGTCTACACGGTTCCGAGTTATAGTGCCTACGGATTATATAGTATATACTACTAATCTTTCTACCATAGTATTAGTAGGAGACTACGGCCCGTGGCATCTCGAGGTGTAGTTACTATAAAGGAAAAATACCATAGTATAATCATTAGTAGATAGTAATAATACGGTATACGGCGGATATTCTAGGCGTATACTAGAAGAAGTTAGGTGTAAGCCCGTCGAAAGCCCGACATATACCTACTAACCCCCGACTTCTACCCGGCTCTTAGCCCCTTGATTCCCATACACGCTCGCTTAAAATTATTAATAATAACACGTAAGCATCACGCGTCTATAAAAATACTATATTAGTCTACGCCTAAACCTTTATCGTGTCTACTAGCTAGTTATTATCCCGCTACCTAATATTATCGCCTAGTAGGTCACCGACCCATTACTAATGAAAATATCTACTAATCTCTTATATATCTTCTCTATAGGACCTCTAACACGGAAGACGGTTAAGGGACCATCTAGCTACCGTGGCGGTAATACTAATAGAAGATAATCTAGTAACCATAGTAAACTAAACGGGATAGGTAAACGAAGATGCGATATAACGTAGATACGTATTAGTATTAATAATAGGGACTTACACGACAGCCATCGACATAAAAAATATATATATATATATCTAGCTTATCTCGACGCGTTCGTTTATCTACTAACAACCTAGTAGTCTAGGTATACCGGTAGCGAATATAGTAGTAACGCCCTATATAGCTTAGACGTCACGGTAACATCCTACCGTAATAGTAACCGGGGATATAACGGCCTTACGTCCTCTCCTCCACCGTATTAGCTATCTAGCTCGATAGAAGAAGGTAGAGAAATGGTAGTAGAGAGGGAACTAACTATCCGTGAAAAGAGGCGGTCCTATAGAGATAGTCTCTAGCCTTACGAACGAGACCGGTACCTTATAATAATAGAGATTTCGATCGCCATAACGTTTTTAGGCCGGTTACCACCGGTATTCGATCGCCTTAATATATAGCTAGATAGTAGCCTAGATAGTTTTAGGATACTAGTATAATCGGCCTAGATAGCCGCCGGAGATATTAATCTTAGTGGCCACTACCTTAATTATAATTCATAAAACACACCTCCCGCCCATATTATTGCGCTAGTAAAGGAAGATATAATGGACTTCCGTTACTAACTCCTCTCTAGAGTTAGGTAGATGGTATCCGAATACTAGGACTAGGAGATAGCCGAGAAGAGAAAAGCTAGTATAAGTAACCTAATACGTAATAACGCGTATATAGGAGTAAAGGTATATTACTTACGTCGTGTTAGACGTGTTACTAATTATTAGTATAATACTAGCGTAACTCGGAAAATATTCATAGGGCTAGTAGTAATTAAGGCTCTAAAGTTAGTTCTACTATAGTCCCTAAGATTCCTTAGATCGAAGGAGCACTATAGTAGTATGTTCCGACCGATCCCACTATCCATGATTACTATTATATATATTATAATAAGGCATGCCCTTAACGAATATAGTAGCGGGCGGGCGCCGAACTCGTCCTTCGGTCGCTGTAGATTCGCACGCTCTCTACTAATACTAGGTATATATATATACCTTTATCTAATCGCGTGCTAAATTATATAGAGGAATAGCGAGCGCTAAGCCTAATATAGTCGAACTAGGCGCCCTACCGTATCGACTATATTTAAAAATCACTAATAGTATTAGTATTTATAGCACTAACACTAATCGACCCGGACACTATATATATAAACCTATATAAAGATAACCTAGATAACTTCTCTAAAGTAGATGTGGATGACTTAGACGAGAGCGAGGAGTCTAAGCTATCGGGTAATATAAGTATATACTAAAGTTATAGAGGCTATATAGATACTAACTACTACGAAAAGGATGAGTCGGATACTCTAAACTAGTTGGATAAGTGCCTCGAATCATCTCATACGCCATTAGATATGGGTGAGAGTTCTACACCACTGGTAGTGGCTACGGATAAGATTATACCATCTTGGGTATTAAGTATAGACCCGCTCTAAGTAACCGCGGGAACGGTAAATGATAGTATATATACGTGTAGTATGAATGAGTCTATTACTAACTTATTATCCCTAGTTATAGCTACCTTAACTAGTAGTCTATCTACCCCGACCGATACTTAAATCAAAATGAAGTTAGATGGTGGCGGACGTTCAAGTTAGGTCTTTAACCTATATATAAAGAGTGTATACTTTCAAGAGAAGTCGGATATTAGTATATAGCTAGGGAACTATATAGACTACCACGAGGCCGAATAGATAATATAAGAGAGAATAAAAACAGTAACTAGAAATATAGAGGGAAGTGTCTAGTGGGAGAAAAGGTCATTAAAGGTAGTTCTAGATAAGGACACCTTTTAATAGATAAAGGACACCGCCCAAAGGTAGAAGAAAGGAAGGTCTACTACATTTTATTGTAGCTATATAGTCGGAGAGAGCTTAGAATAGTACTATTTAATTTAAGTTCCTAGTCTAATTAATTTTTAACCTCTACTCTCTATTATATACTATCTTTCTAGTATTAAATTTAAAGACTATAATTAAATATACTAAAGATATAATTTAGAATAATAA